GAATCGTTTGTTGTGAATTATAGCGTCTGTTAAAGTTATAGCGTGACTGTGGAAATTAAGTGTATTGCAAAGTTGTATTAAGAAAGAATAAACTAGTTTTATTTAATAAAGGACTTGTATCGCTAAAGTTTTTCGGAAAGAATTTCTACGGAAAATTAACAAACGAACACCGAGGCGTAACATTATTTTTTATTCAGGGGCTAGACCACGAGGTTACATCTCAAGTGACTTGCTATTACCATTAATCTACATAATCTTTCACAATATTAGGTTCTGAACGACACCGCTAGGGGAAGGTTGTGTCAGTTTTAATATACGTATATACATACTCGCAATCACAATAAATTTTCTCTAACCAAAAGGTGAATTAGTTCTTTAAATTTAATGGATAAAAAAATCATAGTTGAAATAAACGATAGAGGGAATAATTAAATAAAAGTAGAATTCGCTATCTTATATGTCTTCTAAAACTTTGTTATCTGAAGCTGTAAATTACCGAACATCAATAGAGTTTTGTTTCACAGTCGTTTGTCAAAGGTAGTATTCATTTTGTTGATAGCATGAAAATGGTTAACAAATCTTGTATTGATATGGATTTGTTTTGATAAGTAAACTAAAACTCGAAACACTAAACAACTAACAGGTATCTTATTATCTGTCTGTATGGGTACACAACTATAAATTCAAATTTGCTTATTAAAACTGTTGAAACTTGAATATAGTTAGTAGCTAGAACGTACTTTCTGCTATTGTGAAGAATATTCAAAATAGCCTTTTTTTATAACTTAGAATCAGTAATACTTTCATTTCCTTCTTTCATCTTGTACTAATACACTTGTACCTCCGCTATACGCCAACACTTTGAATGTTATTGTTAACACTTCCAAGTTCCAGTATTAGAGGTAATACTAGAGTTCTAAGTGTACAGAAACTGGACTTCATTTCAAACATTTCCATATAATTATGGTTTGTTAGTTCTACCATTCAGTTGTATCTATTTTATATTTTTTAATTTAATTTGGCATTTGATATAACTTTTATTATTTCATCTCAACATTTTTAAGAGCTGGGTGAAGAGTGAGTGGTCTCTCACAGAGTACTCTTGATTTTATCTTAAATAATTATCAAGATTTTGTTCTTGCAATAATAATTACAATGATATTCATGTTGTAACACACTACTAAAAAAAGGTTCAGATGAACCTTTCTAATTATCAGTCATAATATACATGTTGAGAATACGTGAAATTAGTGGTAATGATTTTTTTGGTTTCTTACTATACATTTTGTTTCAAATCCACTTCATGTCAGGTAAAGAGGATTTAGTTTTAATGTAAAGACATAAAAATAGCATATAAGTTAATATGAAAGCTATAAAGATAATGTGAAATTTGATATCAGTATTTGTTCAAGTCTTTGTTTTGATATTTTTGAAGGATGCAAGTATTAATTTTTACTTTATTTTTCAGTAGTCGAACTACAAACTTTGATAACAACATAAAAATGAAGCTCTGATTGAACCATGGAATTGTTAAAGATAAAGGTTGAACCATTTTCTGAAGATACTTTGTTGGATATCAAATTGATGGAAAGTGAAGAAACAATTACATTACTTGTTAGTAAGTGTGTATGTTCATAAACCAAATGATTGTGTTCTTTCCAACACAAATAGTGTAAATTTTACCTGTTTTATTTTAGCAGTGTTTCTGAATTTTTCATCATTGGTTGAAAATTTCTTATTTATAATATGATTTGATTTTCTGTCCCAGAGGTGTGTGCCAATAAAATTAGGTTGCATTATTTTAGTCTTTGATTTGAAAAACATGAAACCAATGACAGTGTATTAATTATTTTCTATACCATCACTTGGGTGTGATTAAACTTGAGACCTGCTAATCAAGTGCATGTGGTCTAGTATCAGAGTTACTGGATTAACTGGGTAGCTACTGATAGTAAAGTACTTTTATCAAATCAAAACACAACATTTGTTTGATCTTTTTCTACAGTTACCTTATTTGTAATAAATTGATGATGTTGTTAATAAAACTAATAAAAGTGGAAGACTGCTAAAATAAGTTATTTCAATGTAATATAAATTTACTCTTTATATAAGAAAAAAATGTAGCTGAAAAATAAAGATATTTGTTTCAATTTAGAGCTAAGTGATTAGTCAAATATACTAATTGTTTAATTTTTAGGATCATTAATTGATTACTTTCAAGTATGTAATTATTCTGACATGAAACTTTCTTTAGTTGGAATAATCAAAGATAGTAATAATCAGAAACACTAATTCCAGTTAGTTGATTGTTTTTGTGATATTTATCATTATAATTTACATATTATTTTACCAACACTAACTTATGTAATGCTCCTAGGTAAGTTGATTAATCAAGCTAATAGTCCAGCTGTGTTTAAGGTAAGTGCTAAGAAACTTTGAGAATTACTAATTTCAAATCTTAACCTGGTGTTAAGAAACACACTTTTACCCATAACTGTAAACAACTATCACAATTTTAATTTTATAAAAGATCTGTAAATGTATATATTTTTTTATTTATACATTATTTCCAAACAGGTTAATTAACCTATGAATCACAGTTTGTATCATGTTCAGTAGAACATGTTTTGTCAATGTCATAAGAACTAAAGCTGTGAATCTCCTTAATGTAGTGCAGTGATAGCATAATACTTGTCCATAATTCACCACTTCCCCACCTTGTCTGTGATTTTATTTCTTATTTTGAAAGCATTTACTGCTTTAATTGATGCATTATTCTTTATCACACTATGAATGTACAACAGTTCTTGTTGATGTTTTATTGGCCCTAATTGATCAGTTTATTCAGATCTAACCATGGATATAAAAGGGGGATTAGTTGGTGTTTTATTCATGTGAATTCTGTCTTAGGATATGTTATGTTGAGTTTTTAATTTTTTGTCTTATATTTTTATTAAGGTAACTAAAATGTAAAAATTTTAAACTTTTCTGAGTAAATTAGAATGTTTAAATTTGCACTAACACATATTTTGAATGCAATTGCACATAATATTTGGCACTTACTGACCTTCAGACAGAAGATGTTTTGTAACCTTCCTACTGCTAACATCATGTAATGATTTATTGCTTTTCCTGCACCTAATGGAACAAAGGTCAGTAATAAAACAATAAAATTAAAAGAAAACAGATGTGTGAAAGACTAACAGTTGAACCTATAATGGTTAGAATACATTATTTCTTCAATTGGATATCTTTACTGTTAACAATATTTTTAATGTAAAACTAACAATATCTCATGAGGTTTAGCTTTGAGTGAAAATTGGGAAGATCTTATTATCATCATCTTACTTTTTTATATCAGTTTCATTTGTTACATTGTCCTTCTAATGGAGAACCAATACCTATACCACTGTCAGAATATCTGCCTTCTTGACATAACATTAAAGGATGACAAGGGCCATTTGGTCCACCTGTTCCATACTGTCTAACTAGACGCTAAAAAACTTAAAGCCTGCCCTTATCATTCAGACATTTATCGAGCCTTCCCTTAAACTTCCTTAAATTAATTGTATCTACCACAACTGAAGGCAAAATGTTTTGAAGGCTAACCATCCTGTGTTAGCTGAAGATGACTCCTGAATTGCTAAAATGCATATTTGTGTCCCTCAGTCTTACTTCTTGTATCATTAAATAAAAAAAATATCATACATCAAAACTCTCAATTCCCTTAATAATATTCAACACCTCAATCAGATCCCTTCTAACTGTTTTTTTTTTTTCAAGAGAAAACTAGTTCAGAGATCTTACCTATCCTCATAACCTTTCCATCCCAGGTATCATCGTAGTAGCCTTTTTCTAAACCCTTTCCAACAGTCATTTCTAAGGTAAGGAGCCCAAGACTGAAGACAGTGCCCCAAATGTGGCCTAACCAATGACATATACAGTAAAATTATAATCTTTTGAAACTTGTATTCATTATTTCTGTAGTTATAACGTAAAATTATATTTTCCCTCCCATAGCAACAGCTAAAGAGACTTTTGAACAAGAAACCTGGATCTTTTCTTCCAGAACATTGTTAAGGTTATTCCCATCAAAATTATACTCATAATTTTAATTATGACATCCCACAGTTAAAATGAATCTTCCATTTATTCATCCAACTCACCAAATAATCCAAATCCTTTTGTAAAATAGTAGCATCCTCCTCACATTTAGCAACATCCAAAAACTTAATGTCATCAGCAAACTTAAATAATCTATTGATCATTCCTTCACCTATGTCTATTTTAAACTTCCGAGTCATTACATCACCTCAGTAGAATAACTTGATGCTACACACATCTCTATGAGATTTACATGCCACTAGCCTTCAGCTAACTCTCACTAAAAAACCATGTGTTTAATGTTAATTGCACTAGTGCACGATGACATCATCACACAATGATAGTCCTCCACCAACAGGAGGGTGATATAACTTCCTTGTACAGTAGCTCCTCCTAAGCACTGACACTCAAAATAACTCAAAACTCAAAATAATGGATGTGTTTCAAAATTGTTAATCAAATATTTATGATGGTTTTCTACTGATTTAAATTTCAGTATTTCTGGTTTACTGTTCATGATTCACATGACCAGTGTGTTTTTCATTCTTTTTATGTTATTGATCAAGAAGTTCCAAAGTACTTCTGGGAGTTTCTACTTCTAACATTTTCACATCTATTTCCTATGTTTATTTTACTGTTAGCAGCTCAAATAGAAACCTGTCAAACATAATGCAATGAATCACTGCTCCTGTCATTAGACTGTTTATGTTATACCATAATAGGACATTATCGATAGCAAACATGCTTCTGTGGTGCAATAAGCCAAGATTCCCATAGAGTTTATCATAATCCTACTTTTGAGAACACAACAGGAGAGGATATATCAGATTGTTTACAGTACAGTACAGTGGTTGCAAGGAGAATTGTCTAAAGTAATAAAAGTCTGGGCCAATCCAATAAACATGGTTATTTTGATGTTAATTATCCTCCCGGGATGGCTTCTGAGGAATAGAAACCAAAAATGATCAGTTCTTTCAAAAATGTAAAGATAGTTTAAGAGATTTTAGAACTAGAGAAAAGTCAGACATAGCAGTTATATTCTGTCTTGTTATAGACAAATACATTATTTATACCTCTAGAAACAGAAGCTGACTCCTTAGAAGAAAGATCTTCACATGCCAGTTTGAAGTTTGGTGTATCAAAAAAGGAACAAGAAGAGAAATGTGATGGAGCTACAGAGAAAGCTGAGGTAACTTGCATATTAAAACTATTATATTTTGTTGTTTATAATGTTTTTTTCTGTACTTCATTTACCTAGAGTATAATATATAGTGAGATGTTTGTAGTAATATTCCTGCTACTATTTATCTTCTGATAATACCAATACAACTTCTTCTGTGTTGTGTGTCACTTTGTGAAGTATCAATGCTACTATATTTTATCTACTGTCATCCATTCATCTTCCCATGTGGGATTCATCTGATCCATTGCCCAGGGGATTAGTTTCTCTGATTATGTAGTTTCCTCCATATGCCATTCTTGTCAATCGTCAACTTTGTCAGTAAAAGAGGTAAGTTTTGATATCACTCTATCCACTAGTCTCTTCCTCCTGCCAGCCCTACTGTGATCCACTTTTTAGCCTTTGGTTTGCTTATTCTTCACTAAATATTGATGCTCACAAGCTTTATTACATAACATTGCATCAGATTCGTCATTTGTCTCTCTCTCTCTCTCTCTCTCTTACATCACATTCTTCCAGACACTTGAACAAGATCTTTCTGGTTGGCATGTGGATAAATCTGCATACATTCATTTTCCTCATCTGGCTGTTTTGTCTCCTTTTGGATTTTGACTCTCTTCAGCCAATATTCATTAATTTATACACCACATTTGAAAATGATAAGTACATTTTCTTTTTAATCACCATCTTTCAGGATCCTACCACATGTGTGGTCTTCTAGAATATACTTATTTCTTCAAATCTACATTAGACCTTTCCAGCAAGCATTTGATGGGAATCAAGGCACTTCTCCGGGTCTCTACAGTTCAATCTCCCTTAAGTGGAGCATGGGAGACCCATGCCACTTACCAGTTTCTAACTGCAGGAGTGGTGGACCTTGCAGAGTTCCTCGTTGATTGTGTACAGCACAATACAGTGGGAAGAAAGGTGATGGTGGCACTGTTTCTGTGGTGTCACCCTTCAAACAACTAGTGTGCCTTCCTCCTGTAGCTGGACAGGTTCATTGCCCATGTCTGTGTCTATCCAGTTGAGTCAAAGTCAGATCATTCCCTAACCACACTACATTTCTTGTCTCACGAATCACTTGTATGCAGGTACTCAAATGATCATTCCAAAATCCTGCACATCAAAACGACTCTTATGACTCTTTCCTTTGGAACAAAGCATACACTCTGGTTGAAACGAGATGTGGTTTCCCAAGGGGAGTGGGGGGGGGGGTGTCTCTTTGAAGACCCTGGCATTGGATTCTACACTGCATAGGCTTTTTGTTCAGGGACTTTCCGAAGGGAGTTCACATAGTTTTAATGTATACATCAGTCCTTCCATCATTTTCAATGTATGAAAGTGAGATATGATCAAGGAAGTTAACATTTTGCATACCTGAAAATGTGTTTCTAGTAGATACTCGCTTTTTCACACCTTCCCACCCATCTTCCCCATTCCCAGTGTACATTGTTCTGGCTTTGTTATTCCAAAACACACTTAACCTCTCTCACACACTTTAGCTTTATCCTGAAGAAAGGTTCTTCTTTGCCCATCTAAGTAATGGTATGAATTCTACCTTGCTTGCTCCACTCTGGCATAAATTATGAAGAAAGTCTTACATGTTTACTGTGGTTTCCTTCAGCATTTTATTTTGAATTATTTTAGATATTTTTTGTGGAGATTGAGTTTATTGTTTAATTTCTTGATTTTTGTGAAAAAAAATTTTGGACACGTTTTTTCAATTATGGACACTCACATTCATGTCTCGGACACAGAGTCGCTTGATACCACTCATCTACCATGTAACGATTCTAACGTTGCCCAAGTGTTGGTGGGCCACCTTTCACAGGAGTCATAAAGTTCCTTACATGCAGAGGAATAGAGCTTTACATGAGGTCTGATGTTTTTTCTCCTGTTGCCTCTTGAGTCTGAGTTTGTGGAAGATCAAGGGTGGACTAGTGAGAATTTAGACTATTTTTCCAACACCTTCCTTTGCTCAGACAGTTACTCATGAACCTCGGATAGATATCATGCCTCTTGCATAACTAATTAGTTAATAACTAATTGGTGTCGAGAATATAGAAAGTGGCCAGACGACTATGTAATAAAGATATAAATAGTGTGAGACGAGCAGGAAGCAGTAGACAGAGAGTATTAGACAGTTAAAAGCAAATAGAATATTGCTGGTGTGAAGTTAAGTAACATATAAAAGTGATAGGCCTAACGTTTGATATATATATTAGAGTGAAACTAATAGTGGAAAATGAAATAAGAAAAAATAAGTTTATTCCATCAAAGCGAAACTCTAAAGTAATTGAATCAGCCTGAGTTCACTTTGACAAAAGGAACATAGGATCTTCAGAGGAAAGAAGACCACAATGGTAACTGAATCATACCAGACTAATATTATGATAGTATTAGAGAAAATAGTTCGGCTTGTCAAGTGAGATTCTAAAGTAATTGAACAGGCCTAAGTGGACTTTTGACAAGGAGAGGAGAACTATACATATACTGATATAACATTTACGATATGCTTATATTCTCTATAGTGTGAACACTTTGTTGTACATATATTTAACTTGTTCCAAATATATATATTATTTGAAAACAAGTAAAGTGTGTGCTGTTTATTCATCGTTGAATTCATCGCTAACAAGTCACAAACACCTACTGTAGAAGAATCCTAAGCTACGTAATATATATTTATACTATTAAAGAGTATAAGTAAAAGCCATTTATTTTGACAATTAGCAAAGAACTATATTATAAATTCTGGCATACTGAGTAGAATGTTGTGATGGTAAAGAATGGTTGGTAACATTTTGGAGAATGTTGTGATATAATGTTCCATCCCAAAATTTCACTCAATTCTTCTTCACCATCACAACATTCTATGAAATAAAGCTTCAGGGCAAATTTACATTGTAATGATAATAGGTTTGGTCACATTTGGTCAACATGGTCTGAACAGCTTACACTTTCTATGTGTTATAAATAACTCCCCAAAAAACAGTGAAAGAAAAATTCATGCCTAGGCATGTATGTAATTATCTACATTTCTCTGTTTTCTAGAATATAAACCTGGAAAACATTCGCAGAAAACGTTACTTAGACTTATTATCAGGACAACCAAAACTCAACACAAGTTTAAAATCATGTTGTTATACTTGATCAATAATTTAGGTCTGTAGATGTTACTGTTTGTAAAAAAGTGACAACAAAATTAAACAGAATAACCACATTTCAAACAAAAAAGAAAGTACTCTTTCTGAATAGGGAAAAAAGTTACAGCATTCCACAACCTGCTTATTCACTCAAACATGGGGCTATGTCCTGTCACAAGTATTCAAACACAGGGCAATATCCTGTCACAAGTATTCGAAAACAGGGATATATCCTGACACAGGTATTCCATCATAGAGCTATGTCATGTTACAAGTATTCAAACAGAGGGCTATGTTCTGTCACAAGCACTTAACATAGGGCTATGTACTATCACAAATATTCAAACATAGGGCTATGTTCTGTCATAAGTATTTAAATATAAGGCTATGTTCTGTCACAAGTATTTAAACATAGGGCAATGTTCTGTCATAAGTATTTAAACATAGGACTATGTTCTGTCACAAGTATTTAAACATAGGGCAATGTTCTGTCATAAGTATTTAAACATAGGGCAATGTTCTGTCATAAGTATTTAAACATAGGACTATGTTCTGTCACAAGTATTTAAACATAGGGCAATGTTCTGTCATAAGTATTTAAACATAGGACTATGTTCTGTCATAAGTATTTAAACATAGGACTATGTTCTGTCACAAGTGTTTAAAAAGTATTCTGGTAAGCTAAGAAAACCGTGATACTGACATCTGGTAGTGTGAGGAAAGATTGATACTGATATCTGGTAAGCTAAGGAAACAGTGATACTGACATCTGGTAAGCTACGGAATGAGTGATACTGACATCTGGTAAGCTAGTTATAATAGATGACAACAGGACTTACTGACTTAAGGCATATATAACAAGTTAATATAATTTACAACAGGCCTTACTGACTCAAGGCACATATAACAAGTTATAATAGATGACAACAGGACTTACCGACTTAAGGTATATATAACAAGTTATAATAGATGACAACAGGACTTACCGACTTAAGGTATATATAACAAGTTACAATAGATGACTTACCGACTTAAGACATATATAACAAGTTACAATAGATGACTTACCGACTTAAGACATATATAACAAGTTATAATAGATGACTTACCGACTTAAGACATATATAACAAGTTATAATAGATGACAACAGGACTTACTGACTTAAGACATATATAACAAGTTATAATAGATGACAACAGGACTTACCGACTTAAGACATATATATATATATATATATATAACAAGTTATAATAGATGACAACACGACTTACCGACTTAAGACATATATAACAAGCTATAATAGATGAGAACACGACTTACCGACTTAAGACATATATAACAAGTTATAATAGATGACTTACCGACTTAAGTTTTCTCTGAGTGTATGTATCCTCTTTCATTCCATCTACACTTTACATAATTTCAGGAAAATCTACCCAAACGAGATGAGCATCTAAAGGATTATGATAGTGAGATATATGACGACGATGATTTCTACCATCAGTTATTAAGGGAATTAATAGAGAGAAAGACTGTTGATGTGAGTGATCCAATTGCCTTAAGTCGGTAAGTCGTGTTCTCACCTATTATAACTTGTTATATATGCCTTAAGTCGGTAAGTCATCTATTATAACTTGTTATATATGTCTTAAGTCGGTAAGTCATCTATTATAACTTGTTATATATGTCTTAAGTCGGTAAGTCGTCTATTATAACTTGTTATATATGCCTTAAGTTGGTAAGTCGTGTTCTCATCTATTATAACTTGTTATATATCTGGGTTAATTTTCTCGACAAGTTGTTTAAAACCACATCCTGAATTGAATTTCACTAACCTGCTCAGAAAATTCCACTTCTTT